GTAATGCCACTGAATGTAATTTTGACACGGCAATGCATCACTCATTAGACGCACAACACTATATCTAATCCTGTTGGATGAGCTAATTATAACGTAAAGTGTCAAAATGCACTTAATTCTAAAGTAGGCAAACTGCTGAGAGCGAGCTTAGGCGACAAAGTTATTAATCAAAGGCATTATACAATTTTTAATTTATGTAAATTTTAATTTAATTATTATTTAAATCAAATGCATCACAAATTATCCTTTGTTCTATTAGGTACACATATTATGCTTACAATTATAACCTTACTACTACTTCCTCTCGCATTTTTGTAATTAAAATATAATTAAAATTTATAACAATTATTAATCGGTGCTTATTTGTTTTTATCTGTTTACTTTCGATTTGCCGCTTCCATTACTCCTCCATTTTTATTCCTCGCCGTCCCCCGGTTGTTCCCTATTTCTTTTTGTGCTATGTCTGCTGAAGATCCAGATCTTTTGGATTACGAAGATGAAGAACAGGAAACTGTTCAAGAGCCAAAAGCGAATGGCGAAGCCCTTGCAAAAAAAGGCATAAAAGGCGCCTACGTGACCATCCACAGTTCCGGGTTTCGGGATTTTATACTGAAGCCGGAGCTCCTTAGGGCTATAGTTGATTGTGGCTTTGAGCACCCGTCAGAGGTCCAGCATGAGTGTATACCGCAAGCTATCCTCTCGATGGATGTTCTTTGTCAAGCGAAGTCTGGCATGGGGAAGACAGCAGTCTTTGTCATCGCTACTCTCCAGCAGCTTGATGCCGAAGAGTCTGTTACTCGCGTCCTAGTTCTGTGCCACACAAGGGAGTTGGCCTTTCAGATAAGTAAGGAATATGAACGCTTTTCTAAGTATATACCAAAACTCAAGGTAAGGCGTCTGTTTGTTTGAAACCCATCCCAGGTTGGTGTGTTCTTCGGCGGCGTCCCTATCAGGAAAGATATCGAAACGCTTACGAAAAGTACAATCCACATCGTTGTCGGAACCCCGGGGCGCATTCTGGATCTTGTTAGAAACAAGGCTTTAAAGCTTGCCGGAATCAAACATTTTATTCTCGACGAATGTGATAAGATGCTGGAGACGTTAGGTTTGTTCATTCTATTTTACAATGACGTTAGATATGCGCCGAGACGTCCAAGAGATATTCAGAATGACTCCCCATCAAAAACAAGTGATGATGTTCAGTGCTACAATGAGCAAAGAGATCCGCCCAGTTTGCCGAAACTTCATGCAAGACGTAGGTTGCTTACCAGTGCAGCCGTGGATTTTCTGATCACAATGCAACGTTGGTGGATTTTTTAACACGAAAAATCCAAATGATTGGAGTCAACCGCTGGTCCTCCTCGATACCATAGTATTCAAATTAGTGACGGCCACTCGTCGTCCTGTCCGTCTCGTTATGCCTGTTTATTCGGGCGTGATAACCCGATACTGGACGTCAGGCGCATATGCACAGAGAATTGTCTCCTGCGGTCCCAGATTACCCATTCAGAGACGAAGCCACCGTATTTGCGCTACTGGAGACTCGATTCGTCGAGGCTGTCGCGCTGCGGCGAGTGAACCAGAGCCTGCGCTACTGGACGCCAATACTGTTGTCATCTAGGGTTTTGGTAAACTGGTGTCTATAGGCACAGGCCAGTCATAAGCCAGCTTTTTTTACCTAAGTTAGAGGTGGGCAGCGTATTGGCTCCAACAGGGTGTTAGGATCTAGGGTGTCTAAGTTAATTTGGCGACATCAACCTCTTAATTTTTTTCAGCCATTGGAGATTTTCATCGATAACGATTCCAAGCTCACACTCCATGGTCTCCGGCAGCATTATGTCAAGGTCAAGGAGACTGAGAAGAACAAAAAGCTGTTCGAGCTTCTTGACGAACTGCATTTCAATCAGGTAAATAGTTTGCCTAAGCTCCTCCACATTTTAAATGATGCTATGCCATGCTAATACTGACACAAAGTTATCCTTGTGTGTGTGAGTTGACGTCTCTCCCTGAATATTTGTTCTTTCTTGAGCTACTCTGCCGAAGCCTCTTTCTTATTCGAATTTCTTCTTCTAGGTCATTATATTCGTCAAATCTGTCCAACGGTGTACTGCCCTTGCTCAGCTCCTTGTCGACCAGAATTTCCCGGCTATCGCGATGCATCGTGCAATGAACCAAGAGGAACGTCTGGAGCGATATCAGGCGTTTAAGAACTTCCAAAAGCGATTGCTGGTTGCCACAAATCTCTTCGGACGGGGCATGGATATCGAGCGCGTCAATATCGTTTTTAATTACGATATGCCTGAGGATTCCGACACTTACCTCCATCGCGTAAATATCTGGCTCTGAGTTACCTCATTATCTTCATTTCTAATTCCGCCTTCTTTTCAGGTCGCCCGAGCTGGTCGTTTTGGTACAAAAGGTCTGGCCATCACTTTTATTTCCGACGAAACCGACGCAAAAGTTCTTAATGATGTGCAGAATAGATTTGAAGTAAACATTAGCGAACTTCCCGACGTAATGGAAATCTCAAGTTATATGGAGGATCGCTAATTCCAAGCATGCATTTACCTTGGCCCAGCCAATCCTGTCAATTTTTATTTGTTTGATACATTGCCCCTTTTATCTACTTTTAGAGGTGCGTAAAACTCGTCTTTTCCTCTTATTCGGTCTGAGCACTCATTATTTGGCTGGTTTTTATGGAACCGTTTGTATTCCGTGTGCGGTCTCCGTCGCTAGTTGCGGGTTCTAAGTCATACTTTTGCGTACTGAGATTTAGCGCTAGGGTGGGGTGTCGATTGGGCCGGCGTAGTGGGCTCCGTTATACTAACCCAAGGCAATAGGTGCTGGCCTTAATAAGCGGTGGCAGTTGGTGAGAAAGTGTACTTATCTCGGATTCATAGGCGATTAATCTTTTATGCTAATAAGGGTCGGAAACTATTTTATCTGTATTAGGCGGCGCCGTCCGTGACTCCAATAGGCCCGTTTAAACCCCCGAGGGATGCGCATCATCTTGGGAGTGGTTCCTGAACCACTGCAGCAAGTGGCTTTTACTCAATCCTCGTAGTCATGGTGGCTCAGGGGGAAACTCCATTGTTGACAAGAAGTGGAAAACTTCACGCTAATATGCTTTGATTCTACCTTAATCGGCAACGCTAGTTCGCAGGGTTCATTCATGCCGAAATGCTCAAATTGGGTCGAATAGGTTCAGTTTACCACACCCTCAGCTATTGCATGAATCCTGTTAAGGTACCTTTGCTATACCGCCAGTTGCATAGAGCGCCGATAATCCAGCGGCGCATGCATATTATTCTCTATACTCGCCTAATCTCAGCGCCGGCCACATCTGGGTTGATCTAAACATTAGCAGATTTCTAGGGTGCCGCGTTACTCCGCGCAGGCCAACCCTTCATCGACTGAACTATGCATTGCATCAGTCTGTCCCAGTACAACAATCTAGGTGTCTACGTGCTTGTTTTGTTCTCGTACTATTGTTTTACCCAATGTGAGTCCTTCCTGGATCCGCCTCCATTAGTATTGAGGTTGCCTGCGGCTAGCTGCAACTGCCTCTTTCACACCATCGGTACTAATATTTTTCTTTTCTATGTAACTGTTTTCGGTTATTTTTAAAAATCGGTGTAGCCCCTCGAGGGGACCGGCCGACATGGGTTGTTGGGCTCCACATAAAACAGAATCATCTGGGTTCAAAACAACTAAGGAAAAATTAAAATCAGTTCGACAAAACTAGTCAGGCGCGCACGATCATTCCGCCTCGCATGTCTCAAAATAGTTACTAAGATTAGTTCCGAGACAACCAGTAAATCAATAATATGGGAGGTCTGGTAGTAGAATTTTTCCACAATTGGGTTGGGCTCGCGTTTCCATTAAATTCCACATTGCTTTACTTTCCCAGAAGTTGTTCTCATCCAGTGTGGGCTGCGGTTTCGATTTCGCATTGGTCTTATAAACACCCCCAGCGATAAATCTAAATCAGTTCGACAAAATTACTCAATCGCCCACGAGCATTCCGTCTCAGGTCTTAAAATAAGTAGTAAAAATACCAAAGAAGAGTGCGGATCGGGTGAGATGTGGATCAGTAAGAATTATTCTCTCTGTATTCATATGTATGTTTAAAAAATACCGTCAAGGGCTCGAGTGAACCTTGCATAAACAGCTGTGATTCTGAAGTCTTTGTGACGCTAATCGCAATCAAAGGTTATTACTCGCCGGCCAGATAGTCTGGAAAGATAGCAAAATTTCCCAGACGATATGCTGCGAGTAGGATAGGGACGCATCTGCAGTGGTAGGTGGCGCCCAGATTCAGAAGTGGGACCAGGCGAGTACAGGAGGCATGAGGATGTGTTAATTGTTTAGTCAAAACTATATTGTTTTGACGTGTTGCAGCGTGTAACTCTGGATCATGCAGAAAAGGCGGCGGGTTTATATTACACGATGGCGACCCTGATTCATCGTCTGTCACAGACATCTCAGCGGCCAGGAAGATATGAACAGCAAAAGGGGTTAATCGATCAATCAGGTGAAGGCTTCGCAACGCATAAACCGGGAGCATTCGTGGGGAGCAAACCCGACCTGTCACAGATTCGCGCGTGAGCTGAATTCCCAGGCCGGAAATAAATAGCAGGGATTCTGTGATAAAAGTATTTTAAAGATTTCATTGAGAAACATAAACCTGGTAAGAATATGGAGACAATGCAAATTAAACAAAAGACAAGGAAATCAATCGATAGGCCTAATCAACCAATATTTGAATAATTATAATGACGGGATGTCGTGAATAACAAATCCAATAAGCCATTACCTATGACTGGAAGTTGAGGTAATTATCTATACTAAGCTATGACCATGTGGCCTCATTGTGTAGTGAGAATTTGGCTAAGGAATAAAATAATAATAGGCAAATCATACTGAAAGAAGATAAGATTAGGAAAA